TTACTTCGACTTGCGACCAACTTGACTTGCGATCAGAGTCACGGAACGGATTAAGTTCATACGTAGAGGTACCACTGTATCTGTATTCTTAACTAAGTGTAAATCACAAGTGGGAACAGAATTCCTGTTGCAGAACAGATATCTCTTAAATAGATCAATCTCATGTTCTTCTTGGTTCAATCATTTTACTTAGCTCTTTATAGTATTTTTTTTATCACTTTCCATTTTAAAAATGAAGCAAATCACTGTAATAAATATTTTAAAACGATAAAAACAAAACATTAATAAAAACAGTAGCACTAAACCAATAAAAAATAGAGAAGTTTATTTTTAAAAAATAGGGAGATAAACAGTTTAGGCAAGCAGGAAAGAGATAAAGAGATAGCATTCTCCTGTTTTCAGCAAAATCTCTCCAATCAACAGGCCTGCCTAACTGCTCTCTGGAAAATGTTCTTAGTTCACAAAGATCTGGTAGTGCTGCTTAGGCCCAAGCAACTGAGAGCTGTCAGTGTTAGCATAGCAGGGTTTCAGTCCAATCAAACATCTCTTTTTTCAAGCATACCTGTAACTGACTAGGATTATGTACGCTAGGACCATGTACACACCTTGAGATAAACATCTCAAGCTTTGAAATGAACAACAGACCTCTGGAAATTTTTTGCATTAATGCCAATTTGGAGAGCCCTATTGTCTTATTTCATCAGTCTCACAGTCTATAATCTAGCATCCTCCTGTTTTGGGTAGATCATTATCCAGCTAAGAGGGCAACATTCATTTTTCTGTTGCTATTCTAGTCCTCAAAGAATAGAGCCTTGGAAACTCAGAAGGGTTCTGTAGCTAGCACAATTTTATATATATTCAAAGAAAACTGATTTCCAGCCTTACCATATCTAGGCCATCCCTCTCCCCCCAGTTGTTTAGGTAACTTTTTTTTCTCTGAAGCAGTTACTACGTTTTTGTAAAATCTTAACAATTTGTGGTTCTTTAAAATAAAGGCTTTATTATCATTATCACCAATCCCGGGAATAAAATAATTGCTTCCAAAGATGATAGAACAATGAAGATCACCTCTAAGGCCTACAACTCTTACTCATCAGTCTTCCGCATGCTATCAAAAGTCACAAACTGGATGCTTGATAGATAATAAGCATATTCAGATATCATTAAGCTCAGTGATGGGATTCACAACTCACTATAAATCACAATGTGCTAACTTTGGATTAGGTTGTTGCATCTAAGCCCATTGTGGCTTGCAAACTATTGTTTATGGTTTAGCATCTATGGCTTATTCATCAACCACGGTTAAAACATGGTATGTGCAGTGTGTGTGCAAAACCATAAGGTGAAGATGGAAGTTTCAGCAAAAAATCCAGCCGCTAGATGTTGTGCCTGTAATGTTACTCCACAAAAGGTAGCCATGTACAGAAAAGACAATTGTAATAAGGAGGCCTTCACACATTCAGTCTAGACATACAAAGGTTTCCCCAAGATCATGGACCTTGGAAGCAAAGGCCTCCTGATTACAGCCTGCTAGACTGTGCTGGTATGTTGAAGTGACTGAGTTTAAGTATGCCTCAGTAAAGCTAATAAAGCTTCAGCAGTGTACAGTACTAACATCAGTCCAGAGAACAACTGATCAAGTTTGGTTTTACCATCTGGTTTTTACAGTACACAAATGTACCAAAACATATTATACATTTCTACTCAGGAGCTAAAATGCATTATATTCGATACTTTATGGTCAATGAATTAAAACTCCAGTCTCAGAATGAGAGAATATTATACAAACTGAAATAAATG